CATGCAGGCGTCGCTACGTAACCATTTAAGCACCGTTACCGAATCGGACCACAGAATATATTTGGAAGGCTTTCTCTTATGAGCCTCCAGAATATAAGAACCAAAGCGCGCTGCAATTAAAGCCGCTTGAAGTTCCATTCTTGGAATGGTTGCTGGTTTCAGGGGCGCCAGTCTAGCTTTACCGCCTATTAAAGCTAGCTTAATTGAACCGTCAGCCAAAGTAAAGCGCCAGTAGGCGACACAAGCATACGCTAATCCACTTGCGTCGGAAAAAATATGAAGTTGACTTTCTACAACAGGAAATCCTTCTGAATAACATCTAGGAATGACACCTCCAGACAGAGCATTAAGCTCCTGAAACCAAAACTTCCATTGTTGAATAAGAACTTCAGGCAACACATGGTCCCAATCTATACCTAGTTTCCAAGCTTTTTGGAAAAGAATCCGACCCTTAATTACCATGGGGGTAACTAGGCCCAATGGATCATAGATTGACATAAGTAAAGACAATACAGCCCGCTTAGTGTAGATTGCAGGTAGGCTGGGTATAGCTTTCAGATAACACAAAGAATCATTAGTAACGAGCCAACTCAACCCCAGGACGCGTATTTGTGAAGGAGACGAGGGGCCTAACCCTACCTCAGATGCATCAACAGCGCGGAGGTCGGAGGGAATTAGAGACAAAGCGTCTTTATTATTTGATACCCAGGAACGCATCTCAAAACCAGCTGCTTTATGAACAGTTACGATGTCAAAGGCAAGGCGCGCTGCGGCCTCCACCTCATCCATGCTTCCAAGGTAGTCGTCCATATAGTGATCTTCTATGATGGATTTAGCCGCTTCTGGATAAGCGTGTTGAAAGTCTAACGCGTTTTTATTTTTTAAATAAAGAGCCGTACATGGGCTAGAAGTAGCTCCAAAAATCATAGAGGACATTCGATACTCTTGTAGAGGTTTTGAAGGGTCGTTCCTCCACAAAAATCGCTGCGCGTCACGATCCTGAGGTCGAATCTTGACCTGAGGGAACATTTCCCTTATGTCCGCCGTAAGGGCAACACAGCCTTCCCGAAATCTCATCACTATAGCTAGCAAGGGCTGCAATAAGTCGGGGCCCGATAAGAGCATAGAATTAAGACTTACTCCATTGCACTTTGCCGCTGCATCGTGCACTACACGTAATTTTTTCTTATGTGGGTGCACTACGCCAAAATGTGGGAGATACCATACTTTACTAGCTGTCGGTTGATCACTACAAATCTCTGCATATCCCTTGTCGATCATACCTTGGATGTTTTGTGTGTATTTCATTGCGTATGATTTATCTTTGATCATTTTACTCTCAAGACTTGAAAACCTAGATAAGGCGAGAGGTTTACTGTTGGGAATTATTTGAATATCATTTCGCCATAAAAGTCCAGTCTCAAATCGGCCTGAAGGTAAGCGCACCGTGGTATCTTCCAAAATATCTAGAGCGCGTTTGTCACTGGGACTGCGGTGAAGTTTCTTTTCTATACCGATCGAATCCAATTTATAATACTGTTTTATTAAAACATCCAAATTATGATCTTGTTTCTCAAAATCGATGTGATTGACGTATTCTACAGTATCTTTTTTGCCACCAATAAAACCAAAAAGAACCCACCCTAAGGGAGTGAGTATAGCAGCAGGCTCTGCTCTAGTTCCAGTGCGAATGGATTGAGGCAATAGCAAATGCCAATTGTCAGTACCAATGAGACAAGTTGGTTTCGCATTATCGTAACTTAATACATCAGTCAGGTCATAAAGGTGATTGTGTTGTTTCAAGTCGTTGATGTTTATGGATTGTGGCTTTAGATTGAGATTCGGAATAGTACGAGCTCGTATTTCGTAACTCTCGGAATTATATCTACCTTTTACTTTAACATTAATTAAACTGGTATTACACAACTTAGAGAGCCCTCCTACACATTGAATACACAAAGGTTCTATAGGCCTTTCATCAACCAACATATCAGCCACAGACTTATCTAACAATGTAGCAGAACTACCATCATCTAAAAGTGCAAAAGTGTTAACGCTACCCTTTTTACCTGTCAGAGTAACAGGAATTATTTTTAATAGTGGCTGTCCCTTGGTAATTAATGGCACAGAACTATGCGCCACAATAGCAGTATGTTCGCTAGCTTGAGGCGTAGACGATAAATGTGCATCAGACCTCAGTTTGTGTAATAATGTGTGATGCCGTCGATTCGCTGTACAACCGTCTACTTCACATCTCTTTTTACAATTTTTATATTGATGCGAACCTTTGCGTAGACATTTACGGCAAACTTTGTTGTCTATTACCCACTGCCAACGATCATCTAAGCTAAGAGACTTGAAATCTACACAATCAACAACTTCATGAGAACTAGTCTGACAATACTTGCATCCTTCTGTAACTTTTGTTATACTAGGGGAATTCGACGAGATCGCGTTAGAAAAAATTTTGTCTTTGATAGGTTTGACAGGTAGACTTTGACATCTGACAAATGTCGACTCTGACGTAACAAGACCGAATTTAGTTTGTAAACATGCCTCGTTGTCTAGGAAATCGGCTAGATTTTCCAACTTGAATTTACCAGAGTCGGCTTTTGCAGCGGCAAAATCAATCCATCTAGACCTGAGGAGAGGAGTTAATTTACCAATTATAGAATTACAAATTTCAGGCGACGCGAGATACTCGGGTAGTTTAAGTAACCGGATAACTTCGATGCAATTTCTAATACGACAGGCAAATATATTGAGATCGCGAGTATTTTCATATAGGTTCAACTTAGGTAGAGTTCTTACTAGGGAAAGCTGATGAAGAACGATGACCTCTGGCTGCGCGAATCGATTCTCCAATGCCGCAATGATTTGATCTGGGTCGTCAGCGACCATTAAACGACCTGCTACAGCCTCTCTCGCAGACCCACTTAGCGCTGATGCGAGCCTTGCAATGTTTTCGCTGGGAGGGAAGTGCGTCTTGGACTGATCATAAGAATTTTTAAAAAGAAGCCAGTCCGAGACACGTCCATCAAATTTAGTAATATCACATACCTTTGTAGTCTTCTTTCCTAGGTTAGTAATAGCGTTGGCCAGCTGATCAAATTGTGTACCTACATTACTACCGATTTCTTTATTTTTGTTATAACAACAATCACTTTTTTTATTAAGTGTGCCTGTAGCGAGTGTGTGTTGTGGAGTTGGTTCAGCTGGCGCAACTAATGTCGGGTGCAAGCGAGCAGGGATCGGGAGTTTTGTAGGGGCGTCTACAACCGCTGTGGCGGGTGGCGCCGATCGCGGCGATGGCTGCGATCTTATATATGAGAACAATGGTTCTATTTTCTCCTCCCTGTCAACCAACGAATGAACTTTACTATGATGAGCATTATTGATAGAATTAGCTAACCAATTGTTGACGCGCTGAGAATTGGAACCGCGCGATCCGCGAGATCCGCTTGTTCTTTGCGACGAAGCAGCTTCTATGGCAGCTAATTGTGCCTGAAGCTCCAAATCCGCAACAGCACGCTCTCGTTCTCGTTCGCGTTCCGCTAACGCACGTTCGCGTTCCGTTTCGGCTTCAGCAAGACGGCGTGCATGTTCTGCCTTGGTTGCTAAAATTTGTGCTCTTAGTGTGCTGTTTTGCGAACGGGCAGTGTAACTACTTTTGGAATTAGTACCTGAACTTGTGCTTGGTGAAGATTCTCGGCGCTTAGTGGACGGACCCGCCTCCTCAAAGGCAGAATTAGTAGGGGCTCCATCCTCCGAAAAAATTTGCACTTGCTTCTCAGTGGGCTGTTGTACTGCCGCTGATGTGGCGAGCTTTTTTGATCTTGTTAGAGGCATTTTTCCTTTTTTATTACTGACACCAAAACTATGTAAATGATACGACCGCTTGTCTTTAGAACACTGACATTTAATTATTTTTATTTTATAATCTATTTCAATATGTACAAATATAGTATTCCAAAAAGTATAGTTATATAAAATCAAAGAGTATAATAAACCTGGTATCAAAAGCTATTTACATATTAGAGCACAGTTAGTCGTGAACAGCTATGGAAATATAAAAAAGTTTTTTCACTCTCAACGTTAAATGTAAGAGGGGTTCCCGAAAAAAAAATTTTGTTTCAAGATTTTATTTAACCACTTTGTCGCTTGATATAAGTATACTCATGTTAAGTTATACCTTTTTAATACAAATCATTTTTGAATTAAACCGCAGACCGATGGACATGATGTAGCGATAAGGGTTCCTTGTTGACTATGGAACAGCAAAAAAAATTAAAGCTACTTTGTTTGACAAAAATTGAAAAAATCAAGACTACAAAAATAACACAACAAAAATCAAAATTCCATTTTAAAAGTACAGTAGCGTCATCTTGTGATCAGTAGGATCAGTAGCGTCAGCTAAATGTAATATTTTCGTGTACTTAACCATCATAACATATGCATTGTGCATTAAATAATTAGCGGCAACGATTGCACCAATTTGAATTAATCAAAATATTATTTTATGTTGTGTAAACAGCTTAAATGATTTAATAATGGATTTGGAAGAGAATGCCATCGAATATAATTATAATGACAAATTGAATTGTAAGTGGTTTCCATGTTAACAATTTAATGCTGTATACGAACTTCTACTCCCATTTCCATCCCTTTGTATGCTTTTTTTCGGGATAAAATATAAGATAGACATATGCTATCGAGGACTTTTTTAGAACTTTTCAATTTCGTAATACATGATTTCTGCGTAATTTTCACCGTTTACACAGCGCATGCATGGAAAGCTCTCAAAAAAATTCAAATAAAAAAAAAATTCAAAACATTTTTCATTGCTGCTCCACTCCTATTAGTCGTAGCGTGATGTCATATAGCTTTTCTCGATAAAAAACTACCTATTCAACTACAACTACATTATTGAATTCAAACAAACTCTTTAGATCTAAATATTATTGTTACAGGTATGCATAATAGGTTTGATAGCTAACACAATGAACGTAGCTGTTTTGACTCGTCGAGACATGGCCGCTGCTCCCATCAACAGGCTGCTGAAGTGGCTGGCTGTAGCTGACGTCTTCGTCATGTTGGAATACGTACCATTCGCCATTTACAGATATTTGGTGAGTCACTTTTTATGATGAACTTCTTAAGTATATCTACACAGTTTATTTAAAAATACAGATACGAGGAGGTGTATCAGAATATTTAATATAAGGTGGAACAAAAATCATAAAGAAGCCGATAACTGAGTATTCTTTACACAAAAATAAGTATCATAAAAATTATAACTGGGAAACGACATAACTATTTTGACATAAAAAAAATTGCGACACGCAATGTAAAGCGCATAACAAATCTAAGTAAATCATCGTGAGCACAGCGTACGTGCGCGCGGGCCGCTCACACAAACAAGGTGTATAAACTACAGTACATGAAAACACTGTCTACCGTCTATGTAGATACCTACTTACCTATTATTCGTTGACATCACCCAACGATCTTTCCAAACACGGTACAAGATGTCCTGATGCACACGCTCCATAATTCCCTCTCGTACAACCCGCTGTTAAAGGTCCTCAAATACTACGATGATTTTCCGGCGCATTTTATCGGCGGTTTCGCAAATACGATCGAAAACCCTATCTTTAACGTAACCCCACAGAAAGAAATCAAGTGGTGTAAGGTCAGGCGATCGTTCAGGCCATGCGTGAGGTCCGTACCGCCTGATCCACTGGTTACCATCTCCGGTAACAACTCACGCCTACGATGTGTGGCGGCGCGCCGTCTTGTTGGTACCAAATATTGCGCCACTGGTCTAGTGGCAGGTCGTCCAATGTATCTTCCATAAAGCCAGTCAACAGTGATAGGTAGATACGTCCATCCATTCTTGGTAGCAAAAAAACAGGACTTACAATTTGGTTTCCGAGTATGCCCACACATAGTGTTTCCACCGGGTTTGGAATCCTGTTTCTTGTGTCAGATACGGATGGTAACGACCAATAATGAGCATTACAACGTTTCCACACACGATCTAATATCGAACCTTGATTGTAACCAAAGTTAGTTACAATCAAGGTTCTATATTAGATCGTGTAATGTTGTTTAATTAATTTAATCGTGCAATGTTGTTTCCACTGTGGTATCGGTGTCTCTTAATACTGAGCCTTTTGTTAAGTATCACCTGACCCTTGATATATCAATTAATTTAACTAATCGTTTTGCTCCACTGCCGCATTATACACGTATGTACACATTGAACGCCCGGACACCTATTTTAACTGAAACTGGCGCAAAGTAAACTATGTGGCCTATACTAAACTGATGCCATGGCACCTTAGTTTTTCACTTAGTCATACACAACACAACACTCAATTTCCTCACAGTCACACACAACACAACTGATCACTGAAAGAAATAGCGGATTTCGCGAGCAAGAACAATTTCGATTGCTTACACGTAAGAGACTGAACTACATAAAAGAAAATCGCAGTAATCCACTGCCGCAGGCGGCTTCTTTGATCACTTCTTGTTGCTGCATGTCGACCAATAAGACAGAAAATTCTATTTCCGCCATTCCGATGAGAAATAAGAAAAATTATCAATAGGAGAGCTTGGTTCGCGCCCAAATATACCTTAAAATTCTTATTAGCAATTCTTAGGTGTTTTTATTTTGGTAGTAGTATTTCAGTGCAATCACAGCTTCGCAAGATTGATAATTTTATTGCTATGAATACCTACATTGTGCGAAACGCGAGATTAAGTGTTTTGTAGATATTAAGTAATAATAATAAACATTTATTTCTCTCCACAAATAGGATCCTTAAGCAAGTAAGTGGGAAATAAAACTAAAGTATATACGGCTGTCATGAGGAGACTAGTGCCTGATGTAAGATTCGTAAGAAACCTGTAGACACAGTTCACTAGGGCCCCCCTACAGATACCACAAGAAGAATTGAATACGTGGTTCCTTTTACATAGCATTTGAAGAAAACTTAATTAATAGACACAAAAGAAAAATGAAATATGATTAAAACGTACGTACCAACCGACCTAATCATCTTTTTTAAGGCTGTTATAAAATTACGAATAGTAATGATCTTTTACAAATAATAAGTTACATACCAAATAAAGTACAATATCTGATGTAATGTAAGATGAAAAAAGAACCACTTGTTTTATTCTTCTTATTTTTCGTTTGAGGCATACAAAATTATAAGATTAAAAAAAATGAAATAATAAGTAAGGCAATCAATCACTGTTAATAAAATAACATGAAAGTCACTGTTTTAGAGTAAATCTTCAAGACTTAAAACATGTGAGTTCATAAAGTTGTTACCTTACTTTTTAGGCAGGCTTTTTAGCGTAGTGAGTAAATGGCGTTTGCACTTATTTTTGTACTAAACAGCATCTTGGATTTTACATTTCGTTAATGTAATGATATGAGGAGAAAAGCGTGTTGAGTATATTTTTTTAATGTGCAAACATGTTTCGATCGATACTATTCGATACACGTTACAATTCGATGCTCCGGAAAAGCAGGACTGCGATGCATGTGAACCAGCCGAGTGGCCACCAGATTCGTGCGAAAATAAAATTGAAGTCATAGTTCATTTTAATTATTGTCCACAGTTCACACATTTAGTTGCACAAACGTCAATTACATTTGTCATTTGTTTACAGATACACTATCGACACAAATTTTGAGCAATTTCAAGCAACGATACTGCTCACAAAGGCACCGCAATTCCTGATTACCTACTTAAATAGCTATTAAAAATTCAAACGCTATAAAATAATGTATGTAATAGTTGTAAAAAATAACACTTTACTGAAGTCCGTTTTTACTATTATTAATATCATCAGTTCGCAAGGGATCATTGAACTCAGTCGATACGGTCGCGTGGTGCGTAGGTACAAGCAACCCCCGACTGAATAAAATCGACCTTTGCTTCCATTAAAATTGTCATTATTAATTTATGAAGGAATTACAATTTTTGAAATTTAAAACATTCATAGATCTTGAAATCGTCATAAAAGCGTAAAAAACAATTGACTGTTAAAGCGTCTAATTTGTTACATGAACGTGATCAGATGACAGAATTTAGTTTTGAATGAATTTAAAACTAAGAGCATACATAAATACTACCTACGTGTTCTCGCAAGCACAGTTCGCAAGTCAATGCACTCGGCAGAGTACGTACTGTGCACTCAGCATGCCCCACAGCGGCACAGCTGCAATGAATAACTTTTTTTTTATTATGTTTCTTTGGGAAAACATTTTAAAAAAGTTTTTCATAAAGAAGTGGATTTTTTTTTGTTTCCACTTTGACATCCACTGTCTCCACCAACTATGGTTTCCAAGGATTATTCTAGAACAAAACTTGTCAGTATTGATGACCCCAACATGTACCTTTCGGCTACGTTATGACTTTTATTCCACCCGTTATCCATATATATAGGTAATTAACTTTTTATGTGTATGACTTAAGTCAAGTTAGTCAAAATATCTTTATTGTTATTTAAAGTACTTTTACATCATCCAACTTTTTTTTATCTAGAACTCGTTCAAAACGTTTATTTTACTGCCATCTCTTCACACTTAAAACGACCTATTCAATAATTTAATTAACTACAAACTCACGATTGTTAAATCTTGACATCTCACAAAACAAGTTATTAACGAACTGAGAAAGTAATCACAAATTCCCACTGTTTGTATTTACAATGTGGGCAGAATATAAGTACCAAAGTTTTTAACAAAAATAAGTATAATCCCACTAGATTGTATTTTTAAATTAAAATAAATTAATAAAGATTATTTTATGTTAAGTGGTGGGATGTAAGCCGACTTTGCGTGGTTACAGAATTGTTTTGCGGTAAACCCTATTTCCGTGTAAAAGGATAACCTGAAGAAATGATAATGAATAGACTGTAAGTGATAGGACTCCGATATACAATCATTAGCACTTACTATGAGGAAGATGGGGGACCGAAAATTATTATCTCGAGCTACTCCGTGCTTCGGAATCCACATTAAGCCGTTGTCCCGGTTGCATTTGCAGTCGTAAATACCCTCCAATCTGCATTGGGCCAGCGTGGAGAGTCATGGCACATCCTCCTTAACCATCCATATGGAAGGCCTCTGCAGTTGAGACGTAAAAGGGCTGATGATGATGAAGATGACAAAACAGTGAGCACCATCGACTCGAACATGTATCTGGAGACACATCTGCAGATATTTATAATAATAATAATTCTTTATTTGCAAATAAAGAATTATTATTAATATTATTATGCTGAAAAATAGCCTTGCAAAAATACAAAAGTCGAGACTGCAATAATGTCTTTGAGGAGTTTAAAGGTGAACGCTGTTCAAGTATTTGTACGCACGCAAATCAAAATATGGGTCAAATCTTGCAAGCGTGTACCTAACTAACTTTTAGTCTAAAGGGTTGTACAAATATATGCAAGAGCTTTTGTAAAGTACAAAAAACACATATTAATAGCGTTTTTTAATAATTTAAAATTTATGAAAATCTTATACTTAGTACTAAAAAAGAAGACTCAACTGAATTCCACAATCGAGAAACGCGGCGACTCAGCAGATCTCAGAAGTTAGTGTGAAAATCAGCTCTGAAAAAGAGATTCGTAATATTTGAAAGTTAATTTATTAAGAAATTATTATTTCTTTATTTTATACTTAATTGTACATACACTAAAGATTCTCAGATCAGGAATATTTTGGGAACTTTTATTGCGATCTAGGATTGTGGAGAACCGTGAAGAGGAAAGATAGAATGTATAAATCTCGATGTTGCCGATTAGGTAACCACTTCACTTGTGATCTAAATTTTAAGACGTGATCGTACTTACTTAGTCCAAAAATTAAGTAGATACACACATTTTGTAGTCGCTCGAGTTTATTCAGCTGTTTCTCCGTCGCATAAACGTCAGCATAATCTATTTATGCAAAAGAAGAGATTGAGCTACCATGAATTTGGTTTAGAATAGAAGAAACTTCTGAAGTCACCTTAAACATTGTAAATAATGATAAACTTTCCTGCTTACCTCTTATGTGTGTTCCACGATAACTTACTGTCTATATGAATTCCGTGCATCTATGAAAATGTGACTGCAGTAGACGTATGATATTGACAAATTCGTGCAATGCGTCGCGTGTCGCGCTGCCGATGCGTGCGTGCTGAGACAGTGGATGAGTACCTTAAATAAATCCGTTTTTGAAAACTTTACAAAAAATTATTTTAAAATTAAATTTTCTTTTTACCCGATTACGGCGAAGCAAAGAAAAGACATAATTAGAATAAAATTCATCATCATCGGCCTCTTAATGACCCTTGCTGCTAGGAGACAAGCGCCTTTCTTATGGAAATAATCAAAGAGGAAAATCTAACTATAAAACTAACAAGCTGCCCCAGTGCGGCTTGCGTTAATGACTACAGATGCAGCCAGGACCATCGACTTAACCTTACAAAAATTAGTTAAACTTGTTATCGCAGACCAAAGACGCCAACTTCTACGCCGCCGAGTTTCTTACAATAAAATTCGTTTTCAATAACGAATTGCGGATGTAGCCAAATAGACATGACGACCAATTTTTGCTTGTGTGTCCATCAGGAAGATTATTGAAGTACATTAAATACGTATTTTTTTATTTTTGCGCAGTCGATAAATTACTGCGCTATTTATTTAATATTTATTGCATGGAATAGCAAACGGCGGACTTAATGCCAAAGGCATTCTCTACCAGTCTACCAGACAGAAAGTAGGAAGCAAGATGTATGGCGATAAAGAAAGTAGAAGTAACTAAACAAAAAAATAAACAAAAAACAGTTATACCTAAAATAATAAACAAATAGATTTATACATAAATAAATATTGATATATACGTATATTATAAATATATACAATAACATATATACTAAGGACTATTTAAGTAATGTTCATGCGCTAGTCTTTTGAACACACTTTTGCTTTTGGCCTTCCGAATGTCTTCTGGCAGAGCATTCCAGAGGCGAGTTGAAGTCACAGTAAAGGAGTTTGACATAAAGCTGGTTCGATGAACATTGGTTTATAGAGTAATATTACTACTAGAGCGAAGTTCTCGCTGATGACAAGCACCCAAAAACTGGGATCTTGATTTTAGATATCTTGGAGTACGTGGATCGTATAGGATGTTGTAATGAGTGGAAACAACTCTAAGATTTCTGCGCTTACGAATAGACGACCATTCGAGTTGGTTTCTATACTGAGAAATATGGTCGAACTTACGTAATCCAAAGATGAACCTTATACCACTGTTGATCAAACGATCCAATTATCAAGGAGAATCTGATTGGTGTCAGAATAGCAGACATCAGCGTAGTCCAGAATAAGAAGAACGAGAGCTTGTACGAGCGCAACTTTGGTACTGAAAGGGAGAAAAAATTTAAGTCTATAGAGAGACCTGAGCGTGTTGATCACCTTGCGACACACTTCATTAACCTGGTCGTCCCAACTAAGTGTGCAGTCGATAAGCAATCCTAAGTTTTTAACCACTGGCTGAAATGGAATGATATCAACATCGTAAATTAAGTGACTAACCGTATTGAGATCAATCAGAGCCAACTGTCTAGAACTGCCAATAATAATAGCTTGGCACTTAGCTGTGTTGACGGCAATACCATAAGCCTTGGACTACTCTAAGATATTAAGGAGATCCTGATTTATAGCAGCAACTGCGTCATTTAGCTTGCTTTTGTCAGCTTGAGTATAAAGCTGTAGATCGTCCGCGTGAAGATGGCAAGAAGAATGAAATTGAGTGGTAAGAGAATTAATAAATAGAGAGAAGAGGAGAGGAGAGAGAATACCGCCTTGAGGTACGCCAGCAGTCAAATCGCACCAGTCAGATATAGTCTGATCAGCCCGAACCGCCTGCTGTAGTTCACGAAGATAAGATGAAAACCATGCCGTAGCAGAAGAAGAAAGTCCCGATTGTGAGAGAATAGCAAGCAGAATATCATAATTGACCGTATTGAAAGCATTCGAAAAATCAATCAATCAAGTTAATTTTGAATTGTCCATCCCTTCGCGTATATCTTCTAAAACATTAAGAAGGGCAGTGGTGGTACTGATATATTTAGTTGAAATGTCTCATGTAGTCACGCTTTTATACATTTTCTACAAAGCTGACATAGCGAGCCCTCACTGCTCAACTTGAAATTGTATAAGCTTCTTCTTACTTTAACCCCATCGTAAGAATGTGTCGTCTTTATAATGAAAACTAAATTAGATTTATTTACACCCAAGTAATTCGCCTTCGAGATTTAAGTAAGGTATGTTCTCGAATCTCTTTCCATAGACTTAAAAATTATAAACACCTTTTGAAAAGAAAGTCTACAGAGGTTATTACTAAATATTTTTTCTATGGTTTTTTTTATGGATTGCTTTGACGCAATTTAACCATTTGAATGTTTGGATTGTATACTATTGATCTTTATTTATTATCTGTGGATCAATGTATATTGGATGTTTATGCTTTTTTGAATATAATGTTGTATACACACGCTTTTGGAGTGCAGTCTTGCTATATATATATATATATATATATATATATATGCTTTTTTCTACTTTATTTTAATAAATAAATAAGCCATTTCTTGTTTGAACAGAAAAAAAATCGTATTTAATATGTTTATATTATCTGACTGACGGACTTAATATAATTTCTTGTTTTTAACCCAGTCTTCACCCCTATTACTGTGCTCCAATTACAAAAGGAATCGTAGGCCTACTACGAAAATAGAACGCTATTTTCGTCGTTAGATTAACTTAATTTAAACCTTATCTCTAAGTTAATAATGCCATGAACCGCAACGAATTTCTTTCGATCATGGCGTTCTATTTATCGAGATGGTTGATTTTGTCCTTGTGTGTAGATTTTTCCGATTGGCATTTTATTTAAATTCAATATATAGGTTGTTAGGGTTGGCAATAAGATAGACAATATATGTCATTGAAAACCTCTTATTGATATTATTACACATTAATGAACATATTCATAAGTGATATTTCTCCCATAGGTTCTGCCTGAGAAATTAGATTTCCCCTACTCATGGGCGGTTTATCTACTATTCCACATGCACTTCGCTCAGATCCTGCACACGGCGTCGATATGTCTCACTTTGTCCCTCGCCATTTGGAGATACATCGCTATAAAGTAAGTACCATCAAAATAATAATTGTCGTACAAGTAAATAAATTCAAAAATTGATAAAATCATAGATCATATAAAAGCATAGCTAAAAATTTTCCAATTTGACATTGTAGCGTGATTAGAAAAATATAATGAGTTCTATTCTTTTAAAGTAAATTTTCAAAATCAGTTACTGTGATGTGATCTTGACAACATTACCAATTAGATACAATAAATATCTGTAGATACGAGTACTATTATGTTGGACTATCTCTGTTATTACTATATTTTTTTTACTTATTACACACTTGCAGACAAAATAACGGAAATATTGTCGATATTTACTGCTTATTGTTAAGATTAAAAATATTTTTTTTCTATTTATTCACAAACAACAACAAACAGATGGATGGAAATGACATTTCTGTAAATAAAGTGGGACGAATGTGATTTTACGTCACCCCACAAATTCCATTACTTGGCAGACAAATTTACGAAGTCTTAACAGTCACGTAACAAGAGTTTCGGAGCAAAATTTTAATATCGCTTTTTTATTGTTTTACGGATCATATATCAAATCAAATGAATAAAACCGATAAGTTATATTATTACAAAGAAAAATTGTTATTTATTGATTGTTTTCTCGCGACTTTACCTAAACATACCTATGTAACCCGCGTGATATGTTTTGAGCATTCCATATATGAAAGAATTTTTAAAACCGATCCAATAGTTTCAGAGTCAAACAAACAACCAAAACTTTCCTTTATCTAACATTAGTATTGGTTAAACTATTGTATAATCTATTCTAATGTTAGATTTTGTTTGTAGTTATATTACTGTTCGTCCCATGTAGTTCCTAGTAATCTTGCTGGTTAAATATTCTGTGGTTTTACGGACGAACTAAATTCAAATAAAGTTTACAGTGAACGATAAATTAATAATGTTCAATATAGGCTTGTTGAAATTTTAATCAACTCTCGTTTTAGTTTCTGCTCTATTACATGAAAATTAACTAGCGAAATCAATAAAACGTTTCTAAATTTGTCATTTTATAAACTTTAACGAAGTATTAATAAATATAACGGTGGTGTGATATGGGACTTATTTATTTATAATAGAAATATTTTAAAGTCATTTTTTATTCGTAGATCAAGTGTTTTTGGTTTTTGGACTCTTGTTAGTCCTATTCTACGCTAAACATAGAATTAACCTTAAAAGTTTTTTTTTTATTAAGTTACATTGAGACTTTATAATAAATGGGATAATTATAAACTTCCATTTACAACCAATTATATCAGAATGTAATCGTTTACTTATTAAAACAGAATCAGACGTTGCAATATTAACTGTTTACAGGTCCCCTCTCATAAAAATAGTAAAAAAATTATCGACTGTCTGAATAACACGTTGGATAATTTATCATCATTGAAAAATATAATCATAAGAGATAATAACATTAATATCCGCTCCGAGTATAATGATCCTGCTGCTCCAGACTACCTAAATCTATATTCTTATTGTAGTTTACTCCCCGCGCGCACGCTCCCGAAACATCAAAGATGTTCTTGCTTAGATCATGTCATACTCAAATCCAATTTCCTATCTATAGCACTTGTCACTAACTCAACAAGAAAATAATCATAATGTTGCTCTACTAACCCTAAACTGTAAAATGCCTAACATAGTAATCCGTAATAAAACTATTACTAAATTATATATAAATTAAATTAATATATACAATATTAATTTTAACCCAGTTTTTCATTCTGATGACGCGGATACTTCCATGTTGTACTTAATAAACAGTGTTCAGCAAGCAATATTAAGAAATACATCGCTAATACGTTTAAGTAATAGAAATTATAATGTTAAGCCCTGGATTACACCAGAGCTTATCCGTTGCATGAGACATAGGAATAAGTTGTATATGAAGGCCAAAAATTATCCAAATTGATGTGATAACACAATTATCGTACAAAAGATATCGAAACTTCTGTAACAACCTTCTGAAGAAATTGTAAATAAACTCTCATTGAAGCTCTCCAAAATGTGACCTATGATGATACAGAGAAATTATTATATGTTCTAAAATAAAATATGAGATCTCTTTTATAAACTAAGGTAGAGTACGCTACATTTATATAATACGTAAGTCATTAATTAACTTTCTATCAGTTAGTTATATTGTACTTAATAAAATCCTTTTGATAATAATATTTTTAACTACAGTTTATTCTATAAGTTCTTTGTTTTGCCTGAAAAACAGGTTAAGCTAGATAGATGTGATGTTTTTATTAAATATAAATATTTTTAGTAATATTATGTATTTATGCTAAGAAGAATACAATAAATTTGTTATTTACTAGCTTTCGCCAGCGGCTTCGTCCGCGTGGTCCCTAGGGAAATGTTTAGTGGGATAAAAAGTCTTCTATGATCGCCAAGTCACCTAATACCCTATCTGTATACCAAATTTCATTAAAATCCGTTCAGTAGTTTCGGCGTGACGAAATTTGACGGATAAGCATCCAAACAAAGAAATTTTCACATTTATAATATTGTAATAGGATTAGTCAGTGATAATTTATGTCACATATAAGTTTGAAGATATTGACGAAGGTTCAATATTTGAGACTCATTAGTAAGTCCAACTAGTCAGTATTATTTGTCAATTTTTAATAATAAAACTTATATAGTAATGTGTACTAATACTGATTTCACTATAACTGAAAATTAAACTGATTTTAATTAATATTACATTTCAATATTCAATATTATCTCTTTACTAAATAATACACAATCCTGATTTTTCCCCTACCAGTACCCGATTCCAACGAAATTGAAAGTAAAACCCATTATTAATAATACTTTAATTTAATATGAAAGGAACGAACCATTACAAGGTATGTAGAATTTCTGTACAAAATAATTATATGTAGATAAAATTCAACCTCGCAAAACGGATACATATTATAAATTCTATACAAGAAAAACATAAAAATCTTTCCTTGATGATGTAAATAATGCAATTCGCTTTAGTGTCATGTATGTTTCAAACTAGATCCTAAATAAAGCTACTTTAGTTTCAACGATATGGGAACGAAACGAAACAAAAAGGTTGTTGTGTAACCATAAATATGTTGGAACACATTTCGTTGATAATTGATTTAAAAACTTAATTTTGTTGCAGATATTCAGATAGGAGTCACATACTCTGCACAGAAAGGCGATGCAGCATAGCTATTTTATCCAGTTTTATACTACCTCCAATACTTTGTATACCAACATTCATGGTAATATATTACTTAGTCTATTGAATATTAAAATTACTTTGCGTCAATAACCTCTTTACCTGATAGGTAATGAAATTTAACAATATGTGTTCTTCTTCTTCTGCTTTTTAATTAATGGCGTTGCCCTTGTGGATTTCGCCAGAATCCAGTGTTTCGCTCAGATTACTTCATATTTTAGTATTCCTCTTTCTCAGTTTTCGATCAGCCGTCATCGATCCATATTATCTACATAGTCTAATCACCTTTTCTGCTCAATAATTCATATTCATACTCACAATCTTTTTACTCACCTAGAAGCATTGTTGCCAACTCGATACGTAAGGTAAGTGCCAGATGACATCTCAAAAAGTCGTAGAGATATCCAAAAAATAGTGCTAAACATATTTTTTCACTTAAGCAAAAAAATTAAATAAATACACATCTTTCGTATCTATTTTTTTTATTATTAACATATAACAAAAATAAAGCCAGAGTAAAGACGTCGTTTGTATTTCTAGTCGTCTTTAAATCTCTCCGCATTACACAATTTTTAACCTTACCATAAAATCTAACTATGAGCAAAAAATAACAAAAAAACTAAATAGTGCTAGATTTGCTGCTAGGAGCTAAAAGTCAAATTACGGTGGTAACCTTATGAAAATAGTACCAGATTTAGTTGGCAACACTGCCTACAAGTCCATGTTTCTAAAGACATATCCACTTAGATAATATTAATTAAATAATAATAATGCCTACCTATATCAGAGAAGTATAAGGTTAACAGTCTCATTATAACTCTTTATTCCCAGGTATTCGATATTCATACCAAGAACGTCACCGATGGCCACGGAGGTTACACTAAAGCATATCACCTCGACACTGACTATGAAGGCACCTTATACCAAGCAAATTTCTGGGTGCACTCGGTCCTGATCAAACTTCTTCCATGTTCTATCCTAACAGTGATCAGTGTCTGGTTAATAAAAGCACTTTACAAAGCGAACCAACACCAGAAACAAATAAGGAATTACAACGCTTGTTCAGCCGCTGAGAACATGATAAAACGTCAAAATAAAGCTGACAAGAGAACTGATCGAACGACCAAAATGTTACTCGCAGTGTTACTGTTGTTCCTGTTAACGGAACTACCACAGGGCATACTCGGTCTGATGAGCGGCTTGCTGGGATGGTGCTTCTTCAAGATGTGCTACAATAGGATAGGAGAAGTGATGGATATTTTAGCTCTGTTGAATGGTTCGATCAATTTCATCCTCTACTGCTCTATGTCGAGGCAGTTTAGACAGACTTTTAGACAATTAATACTTCAAGCGCCGCTCAACAGGATTCTTCCACCGACAGCATCTCATACTGACTCCCACAATCAGAATACGTATGTATTTTTTATGCAAATTCTAATTCTAGTATAAATCTATGAAATTGAAATTTTTGAAATCTACATAAATTAAATATTTACTATAAGGAACTCTATTGTTTTAAACCTATGCTTACTTAGCTTTAAAGCTTAGGCTATGATATACAAAATATAAGCCTTTCAAGTACGTAAATTAAACGTTTAAAATATTATTAAACATTTTCAACCGTATATTCCATTGTATTTATTTAATGCATTCTCTTCATGTCGAAATAATTAAATTACACAAATGATTTGTGGAATGCAATCCCTTATACACGGATATACAAGAAGCAAGCTGAAAGGCACACTAATATTTATTATGACGTAGAAGTTGCTCTTTTTGTTTTAATTTAGAGATAGGAGAATCCACGCGAGTACTTCAGAATAATGATGAAAAGAATGCCTTCAATGTTATTCTGAACTTTTTAAATCTTAAACTAAAATCTTTTTAAGTCTTATGGGACTGAAAATATATTCAGTATCAGTCTCATAACACTTGAACGTTAGCGAGTTAATATATGAACACGGCTCTTTATTGAAGTATCTGAGGTATTTTCGTTCGAACTGACATGTAATATGGCTGAAATTTCAATTTCATAGATGAATCTCCTGTCTTTCATCACATTCCCATTTATTATTGCGCCAATAAACTTTACGCTTGGCTTTCTCAATATTCAAACATTGGCATGACAATTAATTTCCTGCCTACAGGTATATGGAAAAGTAATTAACACCCGCCAGACTTCATTAACAATATTTAATGTGAGTAACGCTATGCTTTGCATTTAATACTATTCTATGATAATTTCTTTCATAGCATGTATCTTTAAATAAACAAGGATAAACCTACTGCTTTCTAAAAATATCATATAAACTAATTTTATTAACGACTAAATCTACATATTCTATAATTAACTTTTAACTTTATAACACTAAACATGTGACAGTGACATACCGCACGGGAGGTTATAGAAATTTGTCAAATTTCTCCCTTGATTTTAAATAGCCGTGTGTACACTCAGAAAACAAAGCATTATATTGTCTTGGGTGTTTTTTGTTTGGTGTTGTGTTACCTTCGTTGTCCTATACATAGGCATATAGCCCGCGTGGTAGGTCATACTCCCTATTCGATTTGATTCGATCCATCCACAGACAAGACCTGTACCCTAGCAGTAAGGAAATTAATAAGCTACTGGTGATGATGTTGATGATGTAGGTGTCTAGAATAGTGAAAGCGTTTCCACTTTAAATAGCCAGACTGATTCTTTGGGTGAGGTACAAACCAGCCTTCCAGAAATTACATTTACATTTCAGACAAAAAGTTATTTTATAACTCTTCATATAAACGATAGACTCCGGTTCCCCACGGACCCATCATCTCAACCTCAAATTGACTTGTATAACAAATTGGTTTTCTATTATACTTGTTATTTACATTTAGAAAAATGATTAATAAGACTTATCTCAAAAGCGACTTATTCAAGAAATGCAATTGAAGTCGTACCTATCATTTAATTAATAACCTACAGAAAACATCCGCCGACTTCAATAGCAATTCCTTGAATGAGTCGCTTTTGATGTAAGTATTATTTATCACTGTTTTTATTGTTTGAGGTCGGCTTTTTTTTGAAAAAAGTTTTTATTATTATCTATATATACTATAATCACTTGCATTTGCGAATGAATATCGCATAAGACGAGCAACGAGGTTTGAAATATCGAAGATAAAGCATAGTTTCGTTATACCTATTAATAAATAGCTTCTAATAGAAGCATCGACGATTCATAAACATCTCTCTTTGGATTATATTCACCCTCTCGCCTGTTGAAAGGTGAAAATTATTCGAAAGGTCGACTGACGTTGGTTTACCTGTAAACTGGGGAGTGGGGAGATAATGCAAATCCCTATATTTTCTAGAGTGCATTGAACTCGTATTTTCTCTGCAACATAATATACTTACTTCATCGTCGTCTTAACAATGGTTACCAATATTTCTTCAGCGAAGTTAGAAGCTAATTTTCTTATCTATACATATATAAAAGAAGATGTCCTAACATACTGACTGACATTAAATGCACAGCCTAAACTGCTGGTTGTAGAGACTTGAAATTTGGAGGGTACATTCGTCTTTTACATCTCAACGGATTTACGAAAAGTTCACCCTGATGGGGGTCAAAAAGGTTAAACGTTTGTATCGATGATAATTGATATTTGGGTAGTTTAATATAATAGGAAGGTAATATTTAATACCGAAAACTAGCACCTAAAGGGAAGAAAATGGGAGTGAAAATTTTTATGGGGAATCAAAATGTTACAATAGCAACCGTTGTTTACAATTTGATTTGTTATTGTAATAAATCTATCTAATATTATTTATAAAGATTTTCTTATATTGTGTTAAATATTTAAGTACATAATTGATAACAAAAATAACATTTTTAATGAGTAAGAAAAAAGTTTAGGCGCTTATTTTTAACTAAACTGCGTTATCATTTTGTTCAAAGAATTTTGCGTAGTTTTCAGTTTTCGATTAAGTTTTATATAAACTATACATTTGTGTTTTTCTTTCCATCTGTATTTCAAATAAAATAAACAGCTTAAGGTTTTCAGAGATAAAGTACTGAAACATATTGAACACTTAGATAGTAAAAAAAATCTTTAAGATTTTTACCTCAGTACTTGTAATGGTAATACATGCTATTCAGTTGTTTCATTAATCAAAAGTTATTGAAACTTTACTTTTCACTTCAATATAAAATTTTGATCCGTAAAATTGATCAGGTACGAATGTTATTATAATAAAAACTCTTTATAAAAAGTAGAGCCGACTTCAAACTTTAAGAAATTGATAAATAATACTTATCTCAAAAGCGACTTATTCAAGAAAATGCTATTGAAGTCTGTCCAAGATTTTCTGTAGGTTAATAATTAAATGACAAGCACCCGATTTCAACAGCGTTTTCTTAAATAAGTTAGCTTTTGAGATAATTATCATATATCACTTTTTCAAAGTTTGAAGTGGGTTTTACTTTTTATAAAAAAAAGCATACTTTTTAGTGATATTGATATTTTTTATATAATAGGTACCTTACAATAAAAATATTAAATATATATGTATATAATAATATTTAACATAGTAAGTCTTAAAATAAGAGATTTTTGTTTATTTGCTCGACATATTTTTTTCCAATATTCTATATTCATATTTTAAAGAGGTAAGATTTGATTGCTTGTTTGTTTGCATTGGATAGGCCCCAAAACTATTGGACTGATTTATAAAAGTCTTTCATTTACGGGAAGCTACATAATACACGCTCATAGGCTATAATTTACGCAGGTGAAGTCGCGGGGAACAGCTATTTTCATAGAAATTATTTCAACCTACTTTCTATGACTTTCATAAAAAATATATCACAATAAAAAAAAATCGAAGCGACATACTCATAGAAAATCTTCCTTTGAGATTTTGAATGTATTCCAAATACGCAATCTATTGTTTCTTAGCTGAAATGGGTCATGTCCTAACATATTATCTAAATATTTAGGTGATATCTGTTTGAAAGCGTATTTTGTTTTGTTATAAAAGGAAAACTACTTATTCGATTTCAATAAAATTTAAAAGTGTAGTCCCATTTAAATTTTATCCAATCATCCTCCTCCTCCAATCCTCGATCCATCAAGCTGTCGAATAAAAAAATAATTTTGAAAATTAGTTAACAATTGACGAAATATCGGTGAATATACATAAAAAAATACATACATCGCCGACGAACATATAACCTTCTCTCTTTCGATTTGGATGTCGGTTAAAATTACTTTTTCTTATATTCTTAATACAAAATGCTTAAAAAATCCTTTCCATCGAATCCAGGACCAAGTGGGATTTTTAATCATTTTGTATTAAGAGTATCTTTCAGTATAGCATTGCGAATGCGAAATGGAGCAAATACCTTTTCTTATTTCTATATGAAGCAGAAATCGAATTCCTCGAAGTGAGTACTTAAAACTTTATCCCTAATATAATGGATCGTGAAAACACAAAAGAATAAGATGGGGAAAATGGCCTAACATTATGATATAATTTGGGCTTATGATATGGTAGGTCGCTAACATCCTTTGTCAAGGAATACGTGCCTTTAACTGTAACGTGAGTTGTGTAGATTATATAGACATGGAATAAGCCGAATTTAGATCACGGAAATAGTGCATGAAACTAATTATACTTCTGTGTTTCATTCTCGAGATTAGCATTAAACACTTGCAGTGCTATTAATAAAAAAGGTTTAGCGGCAATTTTATATTATACAGATAATAACCAAACGTACTACCTTCTGGGAGTAAATATTACTCCCTTAGAACCTCTTACTAGGTTAACCTTTGCTAAATCTCTGTTCAATAATATGAATTTCTTCTAATACTAAATGCAGTATCAGCGTAAATTTACTCCAATGCTAAACATTGTTTGTTATAACACTGTAGGAGATACGAGACGTACGCAAGGGGCATATTATATTTACGTATGGCAAGGGTAAGATATTCACAAGGGGATCTACCTATGACGAAGGTTCAATAGTAAGTCGAGAATTTACTGGCAGCTAAGTCAAATTACAAAAAGTTTTATTAAAAAAAATAGAGAAGGATCATTTTTTTGACGGACAAATATAATAAATAACTAGTATTTTTTAAATTCGAACTCGCGAATTCGAACAAATATACAATAGACATTTTTTTTATCCGCCCGTAAACTATTGAAGAATATTAAACACATTTTCATTAAGAATATTTTTCAGTATAGCATTGCGAATGCAAAATTGATCAAATATAAAAACAAGAGCAATTTTTAGTCTTTATTGAAAGTTTTAATATTTCTTAAAAAATTTTTTCGTCTGTTTAAATGGATTGCCTGAACATTGATGAAAATACGCTCTGCAGTAGCGAAAAAGTAACAAGTGCTTGAAAAATTGCTCAGTGTTAGATCCTGAGTAGCTCAGTGGGTTAGAGCAGTCGCCCGG